TTTTGAGGCACAGTCTCAGTCTATTGCCCAGGCTGGAGTGCAATGGCATGATCTTGGCTCACTGCAACCTCCACCTCCCAGGTTCAAGTGCTTCTCCTGCCTCAGCCTCCCAAGAAGCTAGGATTACAGGCATGAGCCACCACGCCCAGCTAACTTTTGTATTTTTCAGTAGAGACAGGGTTTCAGCATGTTGGCCAGGATGGTCTCTAACTCCTGGCCTCAACAGATCTGCCTGCCTCGGCCTCCCAAAGTGCTGTGATTACAGGTGTGAACCACCTTGCCCAGCTGGGCTCAACATATTCTGAGACACATGCACCAACCTCTCTTCGGAGACCCAGCTGCATACACAAACTGCTTCCTGGACATCACTGTGAACATCCCAGGGAAACCTCAGGCCCAACTCTTGACTGAAGCTGGGGTTCCTCAAGCTCCTCGCCTCACTATACTCTCCCGAGGTGATCACAAGCCTCGTAAGTCCAAAACTGTCTTCCATCTCAGCAAATGGCACTTTCATCTGCTCTCCCCTCAGTTGATAGTGCTAGAAACCCGGAAACCACTCTGAACATTCTCTCCACAGTCTGATGGATGCTACTCTACTTCCCCTACTATCTTTCTTTTTCATTTTTTTTTCCAGCTTATAAAGTTCTATCCCCTACTCTCTTTATCTAGAACACTCTTTCATTTCCCCTACCCCATCCACACTCAGATCTCATTTTTTTTTTTTTTTTTGAGACAGGGTCTCACTCTGTGGCCCAGGCCGGAGTGCAGTGGCACAATCATAACTCACTGTAACTTTGAACTTGGGCTCAAGCGATCCTCCCACCTCAGGCTTCTGAGTAGCTAGGACTACAGGCTTGCACCACCATGCCTGGCTAGTTTTGTAATTTTTTGTAGAGATGGCGTCTCACTATGTTTCCTTGGCTGGCCTGGAACTCCTGGGCTCAAGCCATCCTCCTGCTTTGGCCTCTCAAGCACAGATCTCGATTTAAATATCAGCCCCTTAGGGGTGCTCCTGCTCCCCTGCCTGTCCCACGGTGGTAGGTGATTTCTCCTGTTGCTTTCACAACACCCTATTGTGCTCGTCATGGCACTGGTCATGTCTGCTATTTACCAGCGTGTAGGGTTGATGGGGTGTCTACTATGCTACTTACTACCTCAGATGCCTCATCCTGGGGGCTGAACCCTGGGGCCGCTGAGCTGCTTTTGCCTGCCCCGCACCCATCCCCTTCCCACGCTGCTCACCGGCCTCAGTACTCTCTGGACCTCCTGCAGGACCTTCCTTGGGCTCTGCACAGAGCACAGCACCAGGGTGCAGACCACCACATCCATGGAGCCATCAGCCAGCTGCCTCATATCCTCTCCAGGAGCTACCACGAACCGCTCGTATTGGAGGTGCCTGTTCTCAGCCATGCTCTTTGTCAGGAACTTCTCAAAGTGGGGATTTGGGTCCAGGCAGGTGACCCTGCAGCCTGCTGGGTAGAACTGAAAGTTGGCACCGGTGCCACAGCCCAGCTCCAGCAGGGCCACTTTCCCAGAGGCCCCCATGAGCCCCTTGATCTGGCTGAAGAGCTCCCGTTTCTTGCTCTCCATCTTGCGGTTGCTCTTGCGGGTCAACACGGCCATCAGGTAGGGGAAGTAAGTTTTGCACAGGGGCTGCCAGCAGCCCAGCAGAGCCATGAGGTGCAGGGGCAGGGTGAGAAGCAGCACCAGCAGCTGCAGGAGTGGGACCAGGACGTCCATGGCCGACCAGCTCTGAGCGGTGCTGCCGCTGGGGCATTGGCCTTTACCCTGCTCAGCCTCAGCAGGCACTGGCGTCCCCTCCCGCTGTGATGGGACTTTGCTCCTTGTCTCCTACTTGGCAATTTCATCTTTGCCAGGATTGAGTGGGTGTATGAAATTCCTCCAGACGGTGCAATCCCCACAGCCCCACAGGCTCTTTAACGACTTTTATGTGGGCGGAGGGACAGGTGGTGCCCATGTTCCTGAGTTCTGGGGCACTGTGCCCAGTTGAAGGGGGGCGGGGTTGCTGAGTCATCTCAGAGGGGAGCGAGAAGGAGTGAGAAGATACGTTTCAGATCACAGACTCATGGCTGGGTGCGTGGGGGCTGGCGGGAGGCTGTGGGGCGGGTAGTGGCAATGCTGGGACAGAGCTGACTCATGGGACATGTCCTGGCCTCACTCCATCCTCAAGTCAGGCTTTTCAGAGAGGCCGCAGGAAGGAACCGGTGCTCTTGGCAGAGGAAAAAGTAGATGTACAGGACAGAGACAGCATGCCCTCTCCTGGAAAGGGTGAGAAGTTTAGTTCTGTGGGGAATTGGGTGAGCTGGAGAAATAGGGAGAAGTGAGGTCAGAGAGTAATTGCTCCTTAGAGACTCCCTCCCACCCTCCCTCCCTTCCTTCTTTTTTTGAGACAGGGTGCAGTGGCACAGTCTCAGCTCACTGCAACCTCAATCTTCCCAGGCTCAAGCGATCCTCCCACCTCAGTCTCCTGAGTTTCTGGGATTACAGGTGCCCACCACCATGCCCAGCTAATTTTTTGTATTTTTAGTAGAGACAGGGTTTCACTATGTTGACCAGGTTGGTCTTGAAATCCTGACCTCATGATCTGCCTGCCTTGGCCTCTCAAAGTGCTGGGATTACAGGCATGAGCCACTGCGCCCAGCCATTTTCTTCCCCCTGTATTTTGTAGAGACAGGGTTCCACCCTGTTGCCCAGGTTGGTCTTGAACTCCTGATCTCAGGCAATCCACCTGCCTCAGCCTCCCAAGGTGCTGGGATTACAGGCATGAGCCACCACGCCTGGCCTACAGTTTCTTTGAGGTATAATATGTCTAAGAAGGTTTATATATTTACAGTCTATAATTAGATGAATTTTGACACAGTATATACCTGGGAAACCATTACCACAGCCTAGATAATGAACATGTCTATGTGCTAGGCTTTTGCATTGCTGAAAAGAAATACCTAAGACTGGTTAATTTATAAAGAAAAAAAGTTTAATTGGTTCACAGTTCCTCAGGCTGCACAGAAAGCATGGCACCAGCATCTGCTCAGCCTCTGGTGAGCGTCTCAGGGAGCTCACAGTCAGGGCAGAAGATGAAGGGGAGCAGTGTATTACACGGCGAGAGGGGGAGAAGGAGAGATCTTGTGTGAACTACCAGAGCGAGAACTCACTCATCACCAAGGGAATGGCACTGAGCCACCCATGAGGAATGCGACCCCATGAGCCAAACACCTCCCACCAGGCCCCACCTCTGACACTGAGGATTACATTTCAACATGAGATTTGGAGGGGACAAATGTCCAAACTGCATCAATCTATCAATCAAAAGAATTTTCTCGTGCCTCTTTGTAGTCCATCTTCCCCTCTTCCATCCTCATCTTCAGGTAGCCACTGATCTGCTCTCTGTCAGTATAGATCAGTTTGCGTTTTCTTTTCTTTTTTTTCTTTTTTGTTTTTTGAGATAGATTCTTACTCTGTGGCTCAGGCTGAAGTGCAGTGACATGATCTTGGCTCACTGAAATCTCTGGCTCCCAGGTTGAAGCAATTCTCCTGCTTCAGCCTCCCTGGTAGCTGAGATTATAGGCACGCACCACCATGCCTAGCTAATTTTTGTACTTTTAGTAGAGATGAAGTTTCACCATGTTGGCCAGGCTGGTCTCAAACTCCTGACCTCGGATGATCCGCCTGCCTCGGCCTCCCAAATAGTTTGCATTTTCTAGAATTTTGTGTAAATGGATTCCTATAGTATATAGGATTTCAGGATCTGGCTTGTTTCATTCAGCATGTTTATTTGGAAGTCATCCATGTAGTACATGCATCAGTAGTTCATTTCTATTGCTGAGTAGTATTCCATTGTATGCACATACCACACGTGATTTTTTTTTTTTTTTTTTTGAGACAGAGTTTCGCTCTTGTTACCCAGGCTGG